CCCCAAAACCCCAAAACCCCAAAACCCCAAAACCCCAAAACCCCTGAACCATCTGCTATTTTTGAATGAAAAAGAAGCTTAGTTAAATTTATATAACAGTGAGTTTTCTTTTTATAGAAATCCTCTTTCTGCTCTTCTTTTTCTTGGGTGTTTTGATTTCTTTTGGCCCATTATCACCGAATAGCTTAATTTCGGTCATTGTGACCTCCTGAGACTCTTTGTTGACTCCATAGTCAATATTATTTGATATTTTTAAAATCTTTTTTTTATCAGGGCTTCTGTCTATATTCAAAAAGTTAATATAATGTAAAAATTCTGCCAACGTACACTTCTTCATTGGAGATCAAGATTTACAAGGAGACCCCTTGATGCTCTTTCATGATTTATAATAGCTAGTCTTCGTTCTTCTAAGAGTGGAGATCGATTTAATCTGTTCTTTGTTAATTTTGATTTGTTCGATTTCCTCCTTCATCTTAGTGACATCTTCTTGTAAATTATCATGCACTAACTTTTTCATAAGCATCATTTTCTGGGTTCTCTCCAGTTCTCTTTTGTACTGATAAAGAATACCTTGAATATCCTTCTTCTTCACATCCACTTGGTCAATACATTTCTGGATCTGGCCTTTCAGAGAATTCTGTAGTGATTCAGTCAAATTTACTTTGAACTTCATATCTTCTTCCTTCTCTTGAAATTTATTTAGCAATGATAACTCCATCACGATTTAGTCTTTCATAAGTAATTTCTAGCTCATCTATTTTCTCCTCAACATCAGATTTACTTTGTAGGAGTTGGATGTGCTTCTTCTTTTGATTTTCCTTCATCAGTTCGAAGTTGTCCTGACCGCGTATGAACTCCTTCTCAAGTGAGAAGCGCTCTCCTTTTGAGCGTTTGACGCAGTCAAGGATTTGCTGCTCAGTGACAGTGATTCCTTCATCTGTCTGCATAAGATGAACCAGCTCATCTCTGATGGCTGGGAGCCCAAGTTTTTCAGAGTTCTGAATGTTCCGCTTGCAGTACTCCTTTATAGCTCTCATGTCTTGCTTGTCAAGCGTGTTGAAAGCCAAATTGAGACTTTTGATGTTTTGGTTGTTCTTGACTGCGATGGAAAGACTCCGCCCCACATCTTCAGTGATCATGTTGTTGTATAGGTTCAAACGCTGAAGAGATATATTATCTTCAAGAGTTTTGATTAAGGATGGAACAGCCTCACTCTCAATGGTGTTGGAGGAAAGATCAAGGCTTTGGAGTCCCGAGCTTTCTGATTCGAGAGCTTCAAATATGCTTTTTGCACCTGAGCTCAAAATTTTGTTCTTAGAGAGATTTAGTGATAAAAGGCCTCTATTTTCAGAAAGCCCAGCTGCAATATCTTCCGCTTCTTTGGGTCCAAGGCCACATTTGGAGAGGTTAATAGATTTAAGGACTTTGTTGCATTTTAAGAGAATCGTTATTTTGGAAAATTCCTCACCTTTGAACAACTCATTATTCTCAAGGTTTAGATGAGACAGATATGGGTTTAGTTTTAAAGCATGGGAAAGGATAGATACACCGTTTGATGTCAGGTGGTTATCTGATAAGTCAAGTTTTGCTAACTTTCATTTCCCTCTATAAAAGAAGTATGCTAATTCTTGAGCGCTCGAGTCATTCAGTAAGTTTTCTGAAAGTCTAATTTCTTTAAGACTGCTACTGTTTAAAAGATTTGCAAGTTCATTAATGCATCCTTGGGAGAGTCCATTGTTTGAAAGATTTATGAAAACAAGGTTTGACTCGTGTGGATCAACTCCTTCTAGCATATGTCTAATTCCTTCATTTCCGATAGAGTTATCTGCAATATCAATCATGGCTAGAACTTTATTATTTTTAAGCAGCTTATTGATCCCTTTACAACCATTAAGACCTAGTCTGTTTCTATGGAGACCATCTACATTGGCGAGGTTGAACGAATACAAATTTTGATGATTCATAATAGCATTGAATAAATGATTAGCTCCATCATTAGTGATGTCATTACTTCCGAGGTCAATATGAATAAGAGTGTCACTAGCCTTAATTCCTTTGCAAAGTTCCTTAACACCTTTATTCCCAATAATGTTTTGTCTGAGGTCCAGTTTTGAGATATCATAATTCTTCAAAATATCTGAGAAGATCTTGCATGATTGAGTCCCAAACCCACAATCTCTAAGTTTGATAGATCGACCTTTCATTGAAGTTCTGCAAAAGTCAAGGAACCTTCTGAATTGTTTCTCTGTAGGGTCTATCTTTAGGTCCTTGCACTTTGAATGATAAAGCTCTGAGACTATTTTACCAGGAAGGATTCCAAAGCATTCTAGACCAATTTCGCATAGCGCTTCTTCGCATTTTTGGAGGGCCATTCTTTGCTGGTTTGTCAAAATCTGCTTCTCGATTTTAATCTTGCGCTTATTCATTCTGTCTACAGATTTCTGCCTGTTGAAGAACCTAATCTTTCTGCTTGACTGAGATCTTTGCAGCTTATTCATGCTAGCAGAGTGACCAATTGATCTTCCAGTACTGTAATCAGGATTCTTTGGCCCTGGCGTAGAGAATTTATTTAAGAACCTATTGTTTCTTCTTGATATAAAAGATTGCAAATTTTCGCTATCCATTGGAGTATCAACGGATTTGTTCAGAGAATTTGAGACGGATTTGTTACGGATTTTTCCTGTCTCTCTTCTAGCAACTCTTATACTAAATTGATTACATGACTTTCTTCCGACATCTACTCTTGGTTTCACGCATGTCTTGTAATCATCAACGGACATGTTCATTGTTCTTTTGAAATTTTGAGCCAAGATGTCAGTTGCTTTATTTTCAGTTTTGAGATTATTGACAGAATAATGATCAAATCTTGAGTTACTTCTATAATCACTTGAGATACTCTGGACCTTCAGGTTCTGAATTTTACAAAGAACTTTCTTGCTCTTTATCTTTTTAGTCTTAATTATCGAATTAAATCTCTTAACGCTTTCAGGTTCTTTTCTATATAGGAATTATAACGAAATTTACAATATCTCCATCTCAGCATTCTGTTGTTGCTCATCGGTATGGAAAAAATATTGTTTAGGTTTAGGCTTATCCATGACTCCTAAATCCGTTGCCTTGTTGTAAATCTGCTTAATAGCCTCGATACTTTTGAGGTTCTCCTCCACAGGACCTTCAGAATCAGAAATGTTGAGGATATCTGTTAATTTCTTGGTCTTCTTTGGAGGAAAATTGAATGATGTCCAGTGGATGGTTCCATTCTCTTTACAGCTATTCTCCCTCTTTTTCCTCTGTAGAGACTGTTTCTTCTTGATTATCCTATTAAGAGGTTAGATATAGGAAGGAAAGTAGTCTTACTTGTCTCGATAATCTTTGCTGTGGATATTCTTCCTGTAAAGTACCTTATTCTCTCCATTATGGGAACTTTGAATTGTCTTCTCAGTTATAAGTTCTTCTGAAATTTCCTTCAAGATTTTAGCTCTGTGTTTAAACTGATCATTTTGAGTAAGTTTGGACTTTATCTTGTCAAAAGTCTTTTCTTTGAGTTCAAGGTCTGGAGTATCCCTTTTACCAAGCAGCTTTGGCAACTTGGTGACTCCAGAATTAGTAGAGGTTTTAGTGATCATCTAACGTTAACAAAAATAAATTTAATTATTAAGAGATTCAATATTTTGTAGAATAAATGGGGTTTTGGGGTTTTGGGGTTTTGGGGTTTTGGGG